GGATGCGTAAAGCACTAGGACTCCCCAGAAAATTGATCATTCGAGAAACTCCTCGCATACGCCAGCAGCATCACATGACTTCTGCTGTCGTAACAATATATATATCAAGAAATATAATCATTCTGCATGTAAGTTCTTACCACTAGTGAAGCAACACTTCACTGAAACTGAAACAAAATGTAGTTTTCTTCTTTTGTCAAGCCCATGTAGGTAGACCTGTAAAAGATAATTTATAAGTCAGAGACATCGTAGATAGTATAACAACAAACATAATTATTTGTCCATTGACGTTTTCCTAAATTTAAATCATATTCCATTTTGTTATGTACTGAGCACCAATTTTTCCTAAAGTACTAAGATTGACCTTTCTATATGTTTCATTAGTGAACTAAATACAAAATATAAAAATTAATTTCTATTTTACTTTATACATGTACAGACATTTAAAATCCATATGAGTAATGTCACAAGTTCAAGATTACATGCAAACAGCGATCTGCTTAGCAGTTTTATACCAAAATATATCCATCTTTCTAACAATCAAAACAAACATATAATTTATATACATATAAGGTACTTCACTTTTATGATACTTAAACGACAGCTTCTAAATGTTTCTGTACTATGAAAAAATTGCTCATGTAAGTCTATAAACTGGCTAAACTGTAGCAATATATATATATATATGTAAGCATATAATGAGTTTACAAGCTGTGTAATTAATTTTCTGTTTTCTTAAAATTAACTAAAAAAGGAAATATTAAAAAAAACATTGAAATAAAATAAGCTTAGCTCTAAGATGCAGTAGTTATAGAAATTATCTTGGCTAACGAATAACAACAGATTTAATTCTAAGTGGGTTCCAAGAGTTTGTTCACTTTATAGGTTTGTCAGTAGAAGTTATAATTATCAAGTAATACAACAGAAACTATGCTTGTAATATAAATTAGATGTTTGAAATATAAATGATTAGAAATCGAAATATTTATGAGGTACCTCAGCTGCTGCTGATAATCTCAATGACATCTTACAAGATCCTCTTGACCTAAATAATTTAAACTAGCACAAAAATGACCATTTGTACCAATGAAATTAGTCAACCTATTAACAGTTATATGACATAAAAGTGTTCACATTTTACAAAAATATAAACTTTAACAATTATAACTTAGACAATAATAAATTATAAACTTTAACAATTATAACTTAGACAATAATAAATTATAAACTTTAACAATTATAACTTAGACAATAATAAATTATAAACTTTAACAATTACAACTTACACAATAATAAATTATAAACTTTAACAATTATAACTTAGACAATAATAAATTATAAACTTTAACAATTATAACTTACACAATAATAAATTATAAACTTTAACAATTATAACTAACACAATATTAAATTATAAACTTCACCTTTTTAGAAGTTAACTTTTAACAACATTGAAAATAGATTATTCTAATATGATGCCTTACCTCTCCCACATAATAGCTTTCCTCGATTTGTATTGGCCTCTGTATGCACAATTTTCGCTCACCACTAGCTTTGAGGCTCTCAGCTAACATTGCTTGTCCACATGCTGTATAGCTGTGTTGTAGTATTTAAATGAGCATGCAAAAATCCTCTACCAATACAATTGTGACACACCATCCTAGCACAGTAGATTCCCTCTATACTGTAGCTCATACTCATCACTTCGTGATTCGGCAAGAAAAGGTGCACTGGAGAGAGGTCAAGTGGGAAGTGTGAACAGAGATAAGTATCTATCGAAAATATATTTTCAGCATTGGAAAATGTTAACTTCAAATACAATACCTTACCTCCTCTCACATAATAGCTACAATTTCATGCTGAAATGGTGGACGGACCAGTGCAAAAACTGCCTAGATGAGCACTCTTCAGAAGGCATCCAAAGAGAACCCATGGATTATGATACCTAATATACAGAATCACAATGATGGAAGACTGCATCAAATCTATACCAGGGCATACTCTTTGCCCATTGTAAAGATATGTGTTGCTAATTAGGGCAGAAAAGTTGGAAGTCCAATCAGTAAATGACTAGGGAGCATCAGACCATATTCAGTGAGTCAACTCCAGTCCAAAACCAGACAGCATCGGGTATGTCTTCCAGTTCACAGGAAGACAAAGGCAAGGGTCCCAACTGTCTTCACCTCAAAACCAGGAAGCAGAAGGGAAAAGCAACTTCCATTCTGACAATCCATGCAGGGCAACCAGGCCACCCAGGAAACTGACATCCAGGCAATGGTAGGAAGGGGGAATGAAAATGGTGGATCAACTCTGGTCCAAAACCAGGCAGCATTGGAAATTTTGCATCCAGTCCATAGTAGAAGGAGAGTTTCTACCAATCACATGTGTGAGGGCTTATGTTGGCTGGTCCTATGCTGATTCAATGCCAGAACCACCCATTAACTGACTCCCAGGTGGCAGTAGGATGGGGGAAAGCTAGCTGGAGGGAGGGATGAACTGCAAGTGGTGGATTCATCCAGTCCAAAACCAGGAGGCATCAAACCAATACCACCCTACTCTCGACTGAGTAGCTGGGAATTGGTAAGTTGCAAGAACTCTCATACTCCACTAGAAGAGGGAGGAGCAAAACACACAGTAGAGAGGCCAGAGGAATGCAACATCTTAGGATGGATGATCACAAAAACCCTATTTTGAAAAGCAGGCCAGTCTTTATTTATTAAACTAGGAGCAAATGGATGGGCAGCAATCGCCACACTGCTTTACTCATGATAGCTCATGAGTTGGTACAGTCTGGAACAGACATTATTTATGAAACAAGTTACCATGAGAAACCATCAAGCAGTCTTGTGGAACACCCCCATCCTATCAGTGTGCATTATAAACTTTGAAGGTCTCACAGTGCAGATTTAAAATTAAGTATACCTGGATAGGCAACTTACACATTCAGAGCCTATATGGGGTATGGAGAATGGTGATGGGCAGAAAATAATATCCAAATGAAGAAGAGATGGCCAAATGATACAGGTAATACACAACAAACATGTAAGGTGTAGTCCACATGACAACCTGCCCAACATCCTCTAATGTACGACGAATGTAAGCAACCAAGGAAAGGGTAAGATGACAAATCTCTTGAGAGGAAACTTGGAAGATGTGAAGAGAATCTTTGGTCAAAGAAGCATGAGCCAGATGAATGAATTGATGGAGCTAACCAGTAAGGGTAACAGGAGAGAGATCTTTGGTAGAGGAGGGGATCCAAGAGATAAAAAGTTGGGAATGGGAACCATGAAAAGAAGCTGTGCAGGAGATATAACCACAAAGAGCCCGAACAGGACAGAAATGATAAGGATATGACTGGGAATGAGTAATAGATGGAAGGGAAATAGGTGTGAATGTGCTGTTTTTCTCTAATGCTGCAGATGTTTTGGGAATAAAAGCACAATCAAGTTAAAAGATGCAGGAAACATCAACAGCAAACACAACTGAAATCCACATACAATGAGGAGTAAAAGATAAATCTTGAGGGAGAAATGGTACAATAAACAAGAAACTAAAAGCTCAAATGTAGGATGGGTAAGGGCAAGAAGAAAAAAATTGAGATTCCCATCTGGTAGGACAATTGGTTAGGGAGGAAAAAAAAAGGAAAAAAACCGTGATAGGAGAGGAGAGGAAAAAATACAGAAGATATGGGAAAATTAAAAGTATTGGATAATGCTATCTTACATAATGCAATAGTAGAAATGATAAACTATTGTCAAAAAGCCATGTAAAAAAGTCAGAAAGGTGGGAAACAGTTGGTTGGGAAGGGGAGATTCCATGACACAAAGACCTGCAACAGAAAATGTGCCATTTACATTGGAAAACAAGCAAAAAGGAAGAATGATAAATATGGAAGACTACCTACAAAGAAAGTCCAGAACCCCTTGCAAAATGACTGGACAAAAAAACCCACATATGAAGATGGAGCATGAGTTTTGCAGGATGAGGGAGGGAGAAATGAGGTTGCTGAAGAAAGGATTGGGAAAGAAGAAGTGGCAGGGGAAAGAGATGGAAGCCAAGGCTGTGCTGGCCATAAGAGATCAATCAGAAGGACCTGACACAGAGTAGTTTGAATAAGTGACAGGACTAGGGGAAGAAGATGAATAGGAGGGTAGGCATACAGATAAAACGTGGTCCAATCCTGACTGAATGCATCCATATCAATAATTGAAAGATATGGAACAAGTAACCAGAATAGAAGAAGTTTGGTATTGAAGTTGATGGAAAATGCATCCAGCAATGGGGTACCCAGCTGGAAGCATAACTACTGGAACACATAAGGAGAAAGAGACCACTCCATTGGTGGAATCTTGTCGGGATAAGAAAGCCAATCCGTGAAAAGATTCAGAGCACACAGAATGTGACAAGCAATAAACCAAACATGTGAAGATTGGGCCCAGAAAAGGAGATCGAGTGCTTAAAAATAAAGCGAAAGAGACTGGACACCCCCTTGGTGATTGATATGAGACAATGATTGAATTGTCAGAATGGACCATGACAAGGTGCCTCTATACCACAAGAAGGAAATGATCCAATGCCTGAAGGAACTCCAAAAGATTGATGTGTAGAGTCAATTCAACCAAAATCAATGAATAGCAATCTACTGAGAATTCAAATATGCCCCTCAACCTGTCAGAGATGGATCCATATAGAAATGAAGATAGAGATGAGAAGAAGTAAGAGATATGTCAGCTGCAGTGTTGTCTCTGTCGGACCACCAGGTAAAGTTGACTTGTAAGACAAAGGGAAGAAAATGGAGGAGTCTAAGGGATCCTGAGCAAAATTACCTTGATTGTGCAGCACCCATTGAAGACAATGCATGTGTGCATGACCTCAAGTGATGAGGGATGCCATGGAAGCTCGAGTCCCCAAAAGAAAGATGACCTTACATTCAGACTGGCACAGAAAATGAGCCAAACAAAGATCATGCAGATAAGAAGCAGACAAATGCATTCCAACAACAAAGCAACCACATACAGAGAGGCAAAGTTGAAGAAGATAAAAGTGCCAATGTAGAGAAAAGAAGGGAATGCGTATCTGCCCAAAAACCCTCAGGGGAATGGTAAATAGCTTCAGAAAGGAGATGAATAGACGGAAGATAATGTATAAGAGTTGTTAAGGTAAGATGGAGACAAGAGAGCTAGGGAAGGGAAAAATGAAGGGCAGCAGAAGGATCAGAGCCCCATGCCTAAATCAATGATTCCAAGGTCTGAGAATCAAGAAAAGGAAATTCAGACTTATAGCAAGCTAAAGCATGCATGCATGACTACCAAACTTGGGGGGTCAAATTATGTTGGCACCAGCATAAAGCTGGGAAGGGAAATGGTCAGCATGGATGCAAATAATGAGGAAAAGAAAAATAATCAGATGTCAGGCCACAATGAAGATGGGATGGGAAGAAAGGTTAAAGGAGGTCCACAGAAGTAGACTGAAAAGGAGCAGCAAAAACAAGAAGTGGAAAAGGCTGTCCAATCCGTGGTCCTCAGGAACATATTCTCCAGGGAAACAGAGATCTGACCAAGGCTCAGGAGGTGCTACAGACTGCTTCTAAGACTCCAGCTCCCAATGCACCAGGGCTGAAATCTGCTCGGCCAAAAGTGTAGAGCCTGAAGCCATAGTAGTGTTAAATCAGTTGTGGAAGGATCCATACCAGAAGTAGTAGTTGTTATACTAAACTGTGAGTTCATAATGTGAAAGAAAGAAAAGCTTTCCACAACAAAATAACAACAAATTTAAAGTTGTCAAAAATTTAAAGCAAAAATACAATGTAAAGAGTGAAAAAAAAGCATGACTGCACTTGTGAATGATAGATAGAGAAGTGATGAGTGTGAGCTACAGTATAGAAGGAGTCAGTGGTGCTGGGAGGGTGTGTCACAAACCTATTGGTGGAGGATTGTTGCATGCCTATTTGCACGCTACAATTCAGTAATATCACGTGTAAATACGTAATGTTAGGTGGGAGCCTCAAGGCTAGTGCGAGTGAAAATTGCACATATAAAGGGCAGCACAAATTGAGAAAAGCTATTATGTGGGAGGAGGTAAAGTATCACATCAGAATAATCTATTTCAAGAACAGAATTATTATTTTTCATGTAAGTTCAACTATTTTAATTAAATTTTCAACCATATCTTGATGAAATTCATTTGCTACTCTCTTAAAAAAAATTCTAGTTTAAAATTTTATAACAGAAATAGTTTTTTATTTCAGTTTAGAATCCCAAATCTGAACATTTTATCTGAACATATATAAATGCAACTCATAAAAAATCTAACACACTTTCACAAGACAATGTTAATTTTATTCTGTTTTAACTTGCACTTAAATAGCATATGTAAGTTGAACTTCATTAAGAACCAACAACTGTTAACATAAATCTAGTTTCTTATGTCCACCATCTTATCAACTGAAGTTATTTGTTTATTCAGTAATATGTATTATAATATTGTATTCAACTTTCTGTGAGACATATTTTAACCAATTATTTGATATTTTGCAAGAAATAAATACATACTTTATGTAACGGTTTCCAGACAAGATCTAAAGAACTGTAAACATTGGTTTCTCTGGTTTTGTCAACAGCTGTCTTTTGGTCAGATGTGATGTCCCAGATCATGAGAGCCCTAATATAAAAAAGTACAGGTAATTATGCAAACCACTGGAAAATATACACGAATTTGGTACCTGTTAATATATATTACATGCAGTTACATTTCCTTGATAATAAAAGTTTCATACAACAACATAATTACAATTTCTAAGATCCACATGGCCATGTCATACTTTCATATACTATTGAAGTTTTTATTGAAACATAATACAGTATTAAAATATTTTCATAAATATGAAACCAAAGAATTGAGTAAAAATATTAGTAAACCTGCATTAGTCATTCACGAACTGCAAGTAAGCATTCATACCTTTATTTTCATGTAGAATTTACTGGTCAACAACAGAAATTAATATCTAACTTACCCGTCACTTCCACAAGTGAACAGCTGGTGACAGGAAGTGCCACAAGATTCATACACTAGGCCTTGTTTACCAACCTTTTTAAAAAATAATCATAATATTACAAGTGAAAGTTAATTATACTTTTAAGAAACTGCAAGATGAATGATAAATTATTTTTTAACGTTTTTTATTCAATTGTATATATTTAATTATGATATTGTAAAGAAATTCCCAAAGACTCATAAAAACAAAGCAAAAAATAAAGTTAAACACAAATAACTACAAATTAGTTATTATCTAACTCAAGGAAAAAAGCAAAAAGAAATTAGAAATTGGAAAAATAAAAGTATATTTAGATAGTTATGCATATCTCAATACAGAGATACGTGAATAGGAACAATACAATAGCAAAAGAAAGGAAAAACTGAATGCACAAAAAGATAAACATTATGGAAATGTAAAAAAGAAAAATTTTAAACTTTGACCTTTGGGCTCAATGAAATATATATTAGTAATTTAATCATGTTTTAAATGTTTAAAAATATTGTTTTCAAAGCCTGCCATACAACTATAACACTAAATCAGAAACTTGAACATTAAAATGCATACTAACATACTTTAATCTTGTTATATGTAAAAGTGTGAAATAATTAGTAATTAGATGGAGTGCTAGTTCTTTCTTTTGATCAAATAACTTATTACATTTTTAATTGGCAATACTAGTACAAAGAAATACTTGTTAGAGGCCACTGATGCAAAAAAACCAAGAAATAAAAAAATCTTTTACTTTAAATAAGGCATATTTAACTGCACTGCATGATTAAGAAAAAAGAAATATTTTTCTTCCCAGATTTTCACTTAATAGGGCATTTACTTATTTGAATGACAGAAATAAACTAAAAGCTAAACCAAATAATAAAATTTGGAAGTTGTAGAACTTGGTATAAATTATGGAAATACAAGAGAAAAATGACAAAATTGATTTTACAGGGTTGAATGTATTACTTTAAAACAATTTGAATACATAGATCAGCAAGTGACATGACAACCACAGTCTATATAAAGTTGCAGTGGAACAGCATGTATCAGAAGTACATTTTGATTTCTTTTCATGCCTTTTTTGCAGCTGATGTGATGTATCCAATAACTGATCATTTTTGGGAAGGATATGTAACAGTCCTTTCTGATGTAAAATATTCATAAAGATGTATTAATATCAGAGATTTAGAATTAATGGCATTGGAAAACAAATGAATATGGATCAACTTTGGCACCAGAACCATCCTGTAACAAGGCACAGTAAGCAAAGTGCAGTGTCTTGTAACAGGTGAGAATCCGCAAACACAAAGGTCAGTGTCCAGATGCCCAAGGCAACATAACCAGGAAGGATCTCCATCTGGAAACAAGACCAAGAGGGTATGGGTTCACCAAGGTAAGGCTTCCAGTCAAACCTCCTGTTTCTATCTCAAGCAGCTGGAGAATTAAATGAACATTCATGTTATTACATATATACAAAGACATACTAGTCAAATTGCCAAACATAACCCCCATGGACTTCTGTGCAATCGGACTATTGAAATAGGGACAGGGAACCATCGTTCTCATACACTATATGGATGATAGAAAGCCTGCAGGGATAATTAGTATGCTTTGAACACAACAGCTTTTATAATGGAACTTTTTGCAATGGAAATTATGTTGCAGGACTATTGTTGAGATGCATAGTTTTCAGATAGAGCAGGACGAGGCATGGCGATAGGACTGTAACGTTGTGTTTTGGTTTCAAAATCATTTTAATTAAAGTATTTAACTTGTTGTACTACTGTGACCTTGAAGTAAGAGTTTGTGTGTTCAAATTTATAGCATACCTTTTGTTTACAAGTTTATTCAAAACAAATGTGAATCAAGCCTTGTGAGTGTTAGAGAGTATGTAATGCAAAGATTTTATAATTTTATCAGATGTGTAAGATTTAGGAAGTCACTGAAAGAATAATAAAGAATCATTTTGTCCATCGAATGTTCCATAAAATTTCTAAATTGTTAGTAAATAAAGTGGCACACTTATGAATCTATCCTTGTAGAAGTATCTTTTGGGAGAAAAGGAACTTTGGTTAAATAATTATTTTTATTTATATGAACCCTCACCTCTATGAAAGATGGAAGCCACGTGAGAAAACTGACTGCTGACTTATGATGCTGGTCGATATTACTAAGAGCACAATGCCTTACAATAGGAGTAATAATACTTTTATCTTCTTGAAGTTCCATCTAAAATACAGCATTGAAAGGAGACATTACATATGGATTTTCCTATTTTTGATTTTAAAAAATTTAATGTATGTGAATCAGAGATGGTTAATATATAAACATACAAAAAGTCTATTTTTCAGCCTTTTAATCATTTCTATATATGCAGCAATGAAGAAATATATTACAGACATAGATAACAATCAGGTATCAATAGCTTCAAAGATATTTTCACAAAACTTTAGTTTCAGAACTACTACTGGTACAACATAATGGTACAAATCATAAATATGAAGAAATTATGTATAGTTTTGTTACTAGTTTCATGTTATTTTCAACTGATATGACATGTGCATTTAATAAACTGAAAACTAATTAATGCTATAAGTCTAACCAAAGTGATATGTAACCACTAACACAACATAATGGTGCAGGTGATAAGGCATAACATGATTTTCTTAATAATATCATGACACTTTTAATTCATATCACATATGCATTTAATAAATTGGAAAATAATTAATACAATATGATACCTGAAGAATAATGTTCAGGTAATGTTGTGACCATTTGTTAGTTCATTCTTTGCCCAAAATACTAAGAACTGTCTTAAGGAATTTATGAACTGGGATTCCACATTAGACACTACAAACTTAAGAATATAACATTTAGAACACAACATATTGAACATTAACTACAATGTTAGCTGAATCTTTTTTGTAAAAGTTATAGCTTCACTATGTGATACTTTCAGTTCAAACCAACTCCCTGAAACAGTAAATAAGATAGGGCCACTATATGATGGAAGGTGTGGCAAGATATGATGCAAAATAATTCTGTCTTTTCCTGAACTGACTGAGCTTACACAAAGAAATAAATAAACTGGATATGATGTGTAATACACAAAAAAACTGTGTGTGTAGTCTACCTCAGACAGTCGCCTTTATTAGAAAGGTGGATTGATCAGGCTGGTTATACTCCCACAAACTGGCTGACTAAATCTCATGAGTTTACCCAGAGTAACAAGTGCTACTCATGTGATTGGTCATTACCATTCAAACACAAGGGAGGTTGTATCTTCAAGATATCACCCAATCTACCATTGGAGGACAGTGCTTCCGACCTTCATGCAAAAGGTTCAGTTTTACAGCTAAAGGCAGACCTGGTGTTATCTTCAAGATATGACTGAGAACAAAGAAAACTAGAACAAAATTAACCTAATAACTTTTTTTGACCATGAATTATGTGAAACCCACACTTTCTTAGAATAAACAAAAAATTTTTTACATATTTTTATATGAAATAAGAAAGTAGTAAATGCATGGTATGCTTGCATATCACAGCTCTTTCAGAAGAAAGTAAAGAAACTGACATTTAACTTAAATAGATTGTAAACGTTAAGCCAACCAAACCTATTCTCACACAACCAAGATAGTCTGTAGAATAAAATAACTTGTTTTTTTTTTGTAGTTAATCACAAAGCTATACAATGGGCTATCTGTGCTGTGCCCAACATAGGCAATGAAACCCAATTTCTAGTGTTATAAGTCCAAAGACTTACTTCTGTGCACTGGGGGATGAATGAAATAGAACTAACAATGCTGTGGTAATTAATACAATGGTTTAAAGACTTATTATGATTTATATTATCAGGCATACACTATCATAGAGTTTTCCTAAAGTTCAGCCTAAGCAAAAGCTCATAAACAATAATTATTTTTGATATACAACAAAAAATTAAGTTTGGACACTATAAAAATGCTGATAAATGAGAAGCCCATAAAAAAATGCAAACTTATGCTTTGAAACAGATTGTAGCCTAATATATTTAGCACAAAACCACTGATCCCTTACCACAGTTTACAAAATAAAATCACATACCTATAAATATATATGTGTGTATGTTTGCCTAATCATAAATCATAGAGCTACATACACTACTTAGAAATTCTCTAAGAAACTAATTAGGACTACTTATTATTATAGATCACTTCTCATGAAAACTAAAACTTACACTGATGTGCATTAAATGAACAGTTGGGTATTCTCACTATTACCAATATTTTCAATCCTAATCCTAATAATATGTCATGAGGTTCAGCCAGTTTAGGAGATTTAGGTTAGTCCTAAAACCATACATTAATCAAACAATGTAAAATAACTTATATAAGTATAAATTATTATAAACATTATAAACCAATACTATTAATGCAACTAATAAAAGAGAAATCTTCATAAGTATTAAAATTAGTTTCAAATACTCAAAGCTGACATGAATATCAGAAGCAATAATACCACTGAAACTAAATATAAATGAAAATAGAGTATGACATTACTTAACAAACACATGAAAACCCCAGTCAACTGCTAATATGATCCATAAGTACCTATGTATTTGCACGTGCACATCAATAACAGAAATTAATTGAAACAAAACAAAAGACCAGATGATAAAAACCAAAAGCCTGTTTAAAATATCTATCTATATCCCTTCCCAAATAATGGCAAGCTACTTACAAAAAGAACCTCATGACCTGTATGGTTCCACATCAAAGATATGGCTAACACATGCAACTGATGTGGTAATAAACTATTACAGTTGTATCTAGTGAAAAGGCAGGTATCAAACACTTGGATTATACTTTAACTATTTAGCACAGATGTGAATGTGTGGTAAGTTACCCTCATGACTACCAAACAGAATAAATTGACCTATTTCTATTTCAAATTATCAACAACATCTATGTGGTCAGAGAAATATGTTTCATAAACAGATCATTACAGATGTAAAGGACAAGAAACTATCCAGTCTAACTCTGAGAGTTGGTTTATTCATTTCTCATGGTATTCTGTAATTAGCATACAGCAATAAGGTGTAAAGGACTAGAAAACTATCCAGTCTAACTCTGAGAGTTGGTTTATTCTTTTCTCATGGTATTCTGTAATTAGCACACAGCAATAACCGAACTGTATACTTACAAACGTTTTGTTACTTTTTTCTGTTTGCACATGAGCCTTTGGTTGCTGAAGACTATCAGCACATAGAGTTACATCCCATAAAACAAGCTGACCATTCACAGTACCACCAACAACCAGTTCTGGTGTAGTAGGGTTGAACGCAAATGTGTTAATATCTTCTGGAGCTTCAAGCAAAAGCTACAAAATCAACAAATATTAAAAGGGTTACGATACAGAAATCACTTGAAGCATATTCTTCTAGTTATGTATGGACTAGAATGTAATCATGATACTCTTCAAAGTAACTTAGTTTCAGGTTTATTAAAAACAAAAAGACTTCTTTGAAATCAAAATAATCTCTGCTTATAATCTCTGAATATAGTTTAATAGCACTATTGCAATTATTTTTTTAAGTAACAAAGAATGTAGAAATAGTATTGATTTAAATTTTTTGATATTCACACTGCAGATCAGTTTTACTAATGAAATAATGTTGTCTACAGTTTAAAGCCATAAGCACAAGACTGAGAAAGGTATTGTTTATTTGAGGTAGTATGGGATATATTTTGCAATGATCCCTTATAGTTTCCAGTATTTTAGGTGGTTAATGTCCATTACATAGGTAAGTATGAGAATGGAAGCCTTTGAATGTTTTTAATTGTTTAATCATTTCAATAGACTCGCCTTCATAGCTTTAAATTACAACATCACTGAGTATCTGAAAAGAGGTTTTTATAATGGGTTTTAATCTTTAAGATGAAGAATTAAACTGATTATTACATGTTAGACATACACAACTGTTTAACTTTCAGTTTAATATGAGAATTATGATTTAGATAGTTTACATAGAGCGGGTGTCATATTTAGCTATTTTCAGAAGCGATATTTTATGGTAAGTTTGTTTACATAACTGTTTATGAATCATACATCGTGTAGTTCAATTGCTATGAATTAGTGATTTTTTTACAATAGTGAGATTATTTCATCATATTGCTAGAACTTTCTGAGTTTCTCATTGTTTAATTAAGTATTTTTGCATCAGAATATCTAGTATTGCATTGAATGTTCTAAACCTCTGTTGTGGTATAAATATGCATCAAAAAATCATTATTTAGTTAGAGTTTTAGACTGCATGATTGTGAGTGTCATAACAAAGAGTGTATAGTGGCAATTTTTAAAGAGAAATTATCAAAGACTGTATTGTAATAACAGAGTAGAGAAGAATAATTCATTTTTTCAATTGTGTTCTAAAGTAACTGAACCAGCCTTTGTGAACTTTGACAAAAAAGAAACAATTATTTATATCTCTGGATATGACTGTGGTAACCTACAGCATAATGAACATTTGCATATATGTTTGATTTGTTTTTAACAAAGTGCTAATCCTAATTACTTCCAAGTAACTATAATTCTTATCATTGAAATATTTCACGATTACTAACATGATTACAAATATTTATTTGTGTGTGTGTGTGAGGAACCTTATGTTTATATCCAGTTAACTTCACTGTAAAATATGAAAGAATTACCAATTACATTTTGTGGGCTTGTTTATATTTTGATAACCTAAATGTAGTTATTAAGCAAAAAATTATACCTGGGGATTTATGGGGTCCATAAAACTCCACACAAGGATAAGAGAAGGCTGTAGAGTAAGATGAGACATGTTATTTATTCTTTCATCTAACGAGTAATTCTCTGCTATGGAAACAGCAACAATACCTATAAATAGAAATTTTACTGTTTAAAACAATATATATAATTAATCTGCCTGCAAGGATATTGCAGTACTATGTATAGCATCCAGTTTAAAAGGATTGGTATTTTAATATCCTCTCCTGGTCGATTATGACTTTGACTCAAAGCAACAGCTGACTATTGCTGTGAGGGGACAAAGGTCATGGGGTGATAATGACAATTGGAAAAAGAAACCAAGTTTACCTGTTGAATTCTGGTGCACTTTTTTGAGGCAGTTCTAATATGAGTTTGCCAAGCAAAGACTTACTTTTAAGATCATCATGCTTAGTTTGACTGAAGTCTATCTTGAGAATGCTGAGGGACCTAGCACAGCCTAATAAGAGCTCCTTTCATGTGCACAAGTACATTATATTTTCTTTTTGTCTGTCAAATAATAAAATTATTTTTATTTTTAACAACTTCATCAGTCTCATTACTTCATACACACTATGAGGACCTAGTTATTTACTACAGAACATTCTCCTTATTTTCTAATACAATCTGCTGTTATTGCAGAATTATCTGTCTGATATTTGTTGAGAAATCAGTTTCACTTGAAAATACCACACATATTTACTTCCACAGAGGACACTGAAGGCTCCCGTTGAAATGTTCTGCCTACTACATCATTTATCAATGTCACTGTGTATATATGTTTTTTGAGAAAGAAGTTTTACCAAATCCACAAGGATAAGCTACCCATGACAACATTGCACTGGCAAATGACTCAAATTTGCTGTAACACAGTGCTACATTAGCACTTACAAATCATATAAATTGTAAATAACCCCTTTGTACAAATTTTAAGTAATCTAAAATAAAAATGTATAAAGAAGATGAAAGCAGCTGTTATTGTGCTAAAAAGTTAAACAATTTGTTTTAAACTGGTTGTAAAGTAAGCAGTGATAACAGCATGTTTAGATTATTAACTTTATAAAAGAAAGATGCACAATGTAACAGTAGTATACTGGTGGTATAAGCAGAATTCACAATATTAAACAGAAAGATGAGTAACAATTGTTCAAGTGAAAAGAATATTGCAAAACAGTAGGCAGAAACAGCAAAAATTAAGAAACATTGGAAATAAATAATACTAGATATAACAAAACATAAAGCTCTATATCTATGTGAACAAATAAATTTACCATTCATCTTAGGATGCCAACTGATACAGGTCACCTTCTTCTTCTTGCTGAACTTTAAGTCTGTGAAGGACTGAAATTCCTTTAACAAAAATAAAATAGAAAGAAAGCTCAATTTTTATTACGTATGTTTTCTTCTGAAAGCTCTAGACTATTAACTTTAAAACCTTTTATTAACATTTTCTTCAAAATCATTACTTTATAAGCAATGAGTTCTTAGTTAACAAAACATTACAAAAGTATCTAGTTACATACTCTTCCTAAAAGCAATCACTTTTTGGTGGCATCATGCTAGCTACAAAATAACAAAAAATATCAAAATGTAATTCTGATACATGACCTACTATTGTGACTGTATATCAGCTATGGTTGCCAAGTGACTTGTGGAATTGTATGTTCAAAATCGTTTTAATATAATCAAGAGAAGATACAAATGTGTGGGGTCCAAGAACATCTCAATCTGTTCAAGCCATTGCAAATCAGGAAGAAATATTCATTTTAAGAATTTTGAAGTAACATTTAAATCTTCATTCTTTTCAAATAAAGTCATCAGAACAAGAAAAAAAAACATTTGCAGACATAATACACTCGGAGCCATTGTTGTTTGGTTATTATCCACATAAGTATTTAAGGTTTAAAACAATTTTGATCTCTAAAGTTTAAAAGAATACATAAAAAATACACTTTAAATGATTCCAACAAGCTATATTGGATTGTTGAATGTATTTCTGACCACTGTTACAACTTACTTTAAGTGTTCCCTCACACAGTGATGTTCAGCTGATTTCTGATCATTGTTACATCTTACTTTAAGTGTTCCTCATACAGTGATGTTCAGCTGATTTCTGATCATTGTTACAACTTACTTTAAGTGTTCCCTCATACAATGATGTTCAGCTGATTTCTGATCATTGTTACATCTTACTTTAAGTGTTCCTCATACAATGATATTTAGCTGATTTCTAATCATAGTTACAACTTACTTTAAGTGTTCCTCATACAATGATATTCAGCTGATTTCTGATCATTGTTACATCTTACTTTAAGTGTTCCTCATACAGTGATATTCAGCTGATTTCTGATCATTGTTACATCTTACTTTAAGTGTTCCTCATACAATGATATTCAGCTGATTTCTAATCATAGTTACAACTTACTTTAAGTGTTCCTCATACAATGATATTCAGCTGATTTCTAATCATAGTTACAACTTACTTTAAGTGTTCCTCATACAGTGATATTCAGCTGATTTGTGATCATTGTTACATCTTACTTTAAGTGTTCCTCATACAGTGATATTCAGCTGATTTCTGATCATTGTTACAACTTTAAGTGTTCCCTCATACAATGATGTTCAGCTGATTTCTGATCATTGTTACAACTTTAAGTGTTCCCTCATACAATGATGTTCAGCTGATTTCTGATCATTGTTACAACTTACTTTAAGTGTTCCCTCATACAATGATGTTCAGCTGATTTCTGATCATTGTTACAACTTACTTTAAGTGTTCCCTCATACAGTGATGTTCAGCTGATTTCTAATCATAGTTACAACTTACTTTAAGTGTTCCCTCATACAGTGATGTTCAGCTGATTTGTGATCATTGTTACATCTTACTTTAAGTGTTCCTCATACAGTGATGTTCAGCTTTCCCCCATATTTGTTAACCTCTATTAGATAATTTGAGAATACACTTATAATTTTATACATTCACATAATATTAATATAATAATCATGTTAGTCTAACCTGTGACTATTTCTTCAGCAGATTGTATTTGAACAGGAGTTATAATAAAAGTCACTCATTACTTTTAACAGGAAGAGATACATAAATATAAAGTACAAATAAAATTTCATTAACTCTTGTTAGGCATAAAAAGGTTTAGTGCCTTGCTTTTGTATCAAATAAAAGAATTAACACGTTATAATAAATATGATTGATGAATAAAATAATAAACTGAAAATAATATATTAAATGTCATCTAAGCATGTACCTACTGTTTAAAGTAAAATACATGATTCTTACAGTATATGATACCAGATGTTACTATACACCTTGTTTGAGTTTGCAACATTGCATTTTGATTGTTTCTATCTACAAATGAGCTTAATAGTAAGACAAACATGTTAATCATTTCTTCATATATCTAAATAAAAATTTTAGATTTCTTATTCATTAAATACTGTACCTTCTCTAACAATCATATTCAATGAACTCAAAAAACAAATCTCCCCCTCCTTAGATTAAAAAACACCTTCCTAATTCAACTCATGATAACTTGTATAGAACCAAAAAGCCATTGAATCAATCCTATTCTACAAATATTGTTGCTTATACAATTACTGACGTTTTTCACTTTTGTAAAATATTTATAAGCAGTTTAGTTACAATGGAAGTCTTGTTTTTATTTCAGTAATATTTAATATGGATAAGAACTGACTCTTTCTAATATAAATGTGAGTATGTATATATATACAAAAACACACAGAAGAAAAGAAATGAGTGGTGTGTTGTTAGTTTTATAAGGGCCGAATTCCTTACAGTAAGTGTCTGTGACTTGTTAGCAATAAATTTCAACAATAAATGAATAGCAGACAATCCATTTGTTTTAAAAGAATACATTAAAAACAAGTCAAACGTATGTACAAAGCTTTGTTACACAGTTGTTTCCAAATGATTGTTTCTTTTTCATCAAACTCAACACAGTCAGGTTCAATTACTTTACAACACCCTTTGACAAGACAAATTATACTCCTCTATCTCAATATTACAGTACAAACTGTTAAACTAACTTTATGGCTAAACACACAATCACGTAGTCTAATTTCCCTTTTACTTTCACTAATTTAACTTGCTTCCTATATCCGTATATATATATTGTCTGACTGAGGCCTAGAATATTTTGCAAATTAAGAGACATTACGATGTAACAATACACACTTCAAGCACTGAGACAAATTCTGAAGGTTTGAGTAACATAACATCAATTCACAACAATTGAACTACACAACAAATGATGCATAAACAGTTACGTAATTGAACTTGCAATAAATGATCAGTTCTAAAAATATCAAATTTAACCCTCACACTTTATAACTATCTAAATCATAACTCTCATATTACATTTAAATAAAACAGTTATGTATATCTGATATGCCTTTTGCCTTCCCTCCATTGGAAATAACTCATTCCAATGTGTCTCTCATGCAAATCATCATGCGACAACCCTCCACCAATGAGAGTATCATACACCCTCATTATGCATGTGGTTTCCTCTATTCAATTCTACCAAATTATCACTTCGAGTTTTGACAGAAAATGGAAGCACCAGTTTTCAGTGGGGAGAAAGGGTTGGAAGTGTGACAGGAGGTAAGTACCTATCAGAAATACATTTTCAGTATAGAAAAATTATAACTTCCGATATGGTACATTACATTCGCTCATATACATAGCTAGAATCCCACATTGAATAGGTGGAGGGACTAGAGCGAGGGAAGAAAAGAAGTATCTATTGAAAGCATCTGAAGGATACACTTTGAAACTAGAGAATAAAATTCAAAGATCTTATGTGGGAGACTTCTGAACCAAGTATACTCCTCGCCAGTCTAAGAAAAGTTTCATATATATGGGCAGAAAACAGAGGAGCACCTCCAACTGGTGCGTGAAAAAAACAATGGAAGTGCTCCCAGGTGTAGAGTGACTAGGGTGTGACAGGCCATACTCGGCAAGTCAACTACATCCAAAACCCATGCCACTGGGAACCAACATCCATGCAGAAGGTAGAATGAGGATCATACCATTTTCACCTCAAGTTCAAGAGACTGGAGGAGATCTCAACCCCCCCCCAGACTCTGGAACAGGGCACATGTTAAGAATAGAAAATGATATATCGATCTAGGAACTCAACATCTGGAATCAAAAAGATGTCTACCATAGAGAAATCAACCCCCTCAACAATGAAACTCACCAGAACCAACCCAGGTACAATAATATTCTTTGAATAAGATACATCGAGAGCAAAGCAAAAGGGAAAGAACCATAACAAACCTAAGTTCCTCCATCATGACCCACAACATAGATGGAGTATGGTTGAGGGAGGAAGACAGACATCCATAATACATGTGTGAGGATTTATGTTGACTGGTTCTACTCTAAATCCAAAACCTGGCCAGTGGGAACTGACATCCACATACGAGTATGATGAGGAATCTTAATCGAAGGGGTGAACTGCAGTTTGATGTCTCACTCCTTTGGTTTACATATGCTTTATAGCGGAGGATATCATGTCATCTACACCAGCAGCACACCACCACCCTACTCTTCACTGAATGGTATTTCTGTATTAAAAATTTATGTCATTAAACCATTCAAGAGGATGTCTCCCCTGTTCACCACCCCAACGGCTTGGAAGTGGAAAGTGGTTAGGACTCCCAAACTCCACAAGAAAAAAAGAGGGGCAAAATGTGGCCACGAAACCCTATTTTTAAATGCAGACTATATCGATTTATTCAATACAAGGTATGGCAGGGATGGGCAGCTATCCCCTTTTGCTTTATGCTTTACCCATGTAGTCCATGGGTGGTACGATCTGGGACATGAAAATTTATGAAACAATTTCATCGCAAGGATAACCCTTAAGCAATCTTGCGAAACACCCCATCTCTGCAGTGTGCATTGCATGGCCATGGAACATATTAAGCATGTCAACATGGCTGAACAGTGTGGATTTTAAAGGTTAATGAAAACCTGGTCAGGCAACACTCGCTACAGAGCAGGATTCAAACAATGAGAATTACAATGAATAGGGAAATAGGGCCCCTGAAAATGTAAAAAAGATTAAACATAACTTACCCAGTCTTATAGTTGCATGGCAGTCTAAAGAATGGCCACAGGTGGAAGATGATATTCAGAGGAGGAAACAGCAATCCTATGCAAATAATGAGAGACAAACGCATTAGGTGTGGTCCGCATGCCTGACTGAAGAATTCCTTCCAACAAATGATGAAGATGATAAGCCAGTGACAAGATATGGTGTCTAATTGGATGAGAAGACACCTGGAACAAAGTATGGGAGGACAACAAAAGAGATGAATAAGCCAATCGAATCAAAAGCCAAACCAAATTGGTGAGGGTGGAAGGAGAAAGATCATGAACAAAGGATGGTTGCCAAAAAATAAATAAGTGGAACAGGCACCATGGATGGAAGTCGTATGAGCAATATAACATTGAAGAGCATGTACAAGACATAGAAGTCAATCCAAATGAGCCCGAAGATAAAGATGGGAAATGAAAAGAAATTGGCAAAAAGGAGTAGTTACCCTCCTTAGCAGCTGAGGTTTTAGGGAGACAAGAACGATTTGGATAAAGGATAAGATATGTAGGATGATAAAGGGTATGTGAAACATCAATGGCAAATAAATCAGGTTCCCTACATCCACAGGCTAATAGGAGAAAGAAATAAGTCTTAAAGGAAAGGTGAAACAAGGAGCACATGAAAAGTGGTTCAAGTGGAGGCAAAGTGAGGCAATGGAGGACCACATTAACATCCCATACCAGAAGGGAAGCCAATGGAGGAGGATGACAAATCCAGAAGGAACTGATCAACAGGGAGAGCATAGGAAAGATAAAAATTCTATGGTATTGGGAAAAACAATAGGTATGGGATAAAGGAGACAGAAGATCCCCGATCAAAGAGCCAAGTAAGAAATTCTACAATACAAGGAACAGTGGGTTGATTAGCAGAAAACCCCCAGCCCAGAGACCAATGTTGGAGAACATTACATTTATGCTGATAAACCTCCATGGAGAAAAGGAAGATGGAACAGGCCAAAAATGAAACTATATGTCAGGACAGTCTCAATCTACCCAAGGACCAGATAAAACTAAGCGTGAAGACAGAGGACAGGAAGAGCAGGATGAAGCACCGATGAATGAGGTTGCAGTAGAAGGGAGGGAGACAGAGGAAGAGGTATCTGGGTAAATTGGAGCTGGATAAGTCAAGGAAACCACAGCTGAGCCAGCCAGTAAGGAGCAATCAGAAGGACCTGACACGAAGTGATATGGGTGATTAAAATCACCCAGAGAAGGAGTTGAATGGGAGGATAAATATAAAAGTATTTGTTAGTCCAATCCTGACTGAAAGCATTGACAGCCAGGAATAGAGAATGAGGTACTGGAGACCAAAACAGAGGAAGTTTGTGGTTGAGGGATGTGGCAAATGGATCAATGTGAGGAGTACCCCACTGATGGCTAAGCTATTGATAAAACATAGGATCAACAGACCACTCCATCGGACAGATTCTGTCTGGACAGGAAAGATGATCTGCAACAAGAATGAAAGCACCCAGAACATGACATGTAATGATATGGATAACCTTGCATGTGGGCTCAGATAAGAAAATCTAAGATGTGAAAACATAAGGATTTTGAACGGGTGCCACTTTGGTGATTGAGATATGCAACCACTGTGGAACTGTCAGAATGAATCATTACCAGATGATGTCTGACTAGATAGAGGAAATGATCCAAGGATAGTGAGAGGGTGGTAAAATTAAATAAGGAGAAGAATAACTATCATGCAACAAAGGAGAATGAGGATCATAGAAATCAGGGAAGGGGATAAAACATCACATACCTGAGAAATCAGAAATAAAAATGCTGTGTTAGGCCTAGCTGATTCCACAGCTGGGGCATAGGAAGACACAGCAACCAGTGATGAGAAAAAGCTATCTAAATCTTCATCAGAGTAAACAGGTTCGGATTGTTTGTGAGGAAGTGGGGTAACTTAAGGAGAAAGTGGTTGACCCATATAGAGATCAATCTTTCAGCGAATAATCACAGATAAATCCACCAACGGGTCACCCTCATCTGCAGCCAGTGTAAAAGTGCTTGTAGTAAGTATGAGGCCTAAAGCAGTCACATTAACCTAGGAATTCATGGTAAATGATAATAAATCAAACAAATTCTTTGATAGATAAAGACATACATGCAAAAAACATAAAAAATAAAAACTGGAAAGTAAATTGAAAACAAAGGCAGTAGCTGTATAATCAAAAACGATTAAGAAACCACTTCGAAAATATAACTGTTAAAGTTACAATGACGAAGCACAGGTGAGTAAAATTCGAAACATCTAAACATGACCATTATCAAAGGAGAAGTGATAATTTGGAAGAATTGAATAGAGGAAGCCACATGCGTAACGAGAATGTGTGGTACTCTCATTGGTGGAGGGTCATCGCATGATGATTTATATGAGACACACATTGGAATGAGTCATTTTCAATGGAGGGAAGTCAAATAGAGGGCAGCACTGAATGAGAATAGCTAATTATGTGAGAAGAGGTAATGTACCATATCAAAATTTTATTTCCATGTTGTGATTTTAATATTAGGTATATATGCAAAACCTTACATAAAATCACTTTATATTGCTGTATACATCAGTTACAAGAGAATTACTTCTCATTTATGAGTATATGTTTGACTTATAAATTATGAGTATGTCTTGATGCAAGCTGTATGAAAATTGTAACATTTAGATCCTGTCAGACAGCTAAATATAGAGAGATATCTTGTTTAAAGACTATGGTAACTGTACACTAAATTCTTGGTAATACATAAATAATTAAATATATGTATGTATATATTAAAATATGTATACAATACACTAACTTTCATGTGGTTTTCTTGTGTAGAAGAAAGTCCTATATCATCATAACCAAGAGTCAACCAGTCATTTACAAAAACATCAGCTACTTCATTCTGAAGTAATGCTTCTTCAAACCTGTTAAAAATTCACAGCAATTTTACATCAAGTTATAAAACTGTTTAGTAAAATATATAAATAATAATTATATATATATCCAGATTTACTTTTCCTAATTTTGATTATTAGTCTACTGATAATTACTTCTCTTCAACAATCATTTTGACCTGCTTGATGGTAGTTAAAAATTATAACAAAAACAAATAAGTGCAGAAAAAACAGAATAAAGTAAATGAAGTTTTAAAGTATCACTTTTATAAATTTTTTTTCATGAAACATGTCTAAAATAAATATAAATATAAACCTTTCTATTACTTGCTTTTTTACCAATTATCTTTACAGAACTTGTACTAAAATAAAGATAAACTATTTATTCACAATCCATATTCACAGGATAAATTTCTTTCTCATTTTTCATTTCAGTTTCCACATGATGTTACAATAAAACATTTCCAAACAATTACATATACGAAATCACTATACCACTAAATACAAAAAATGAACATAACAATATTCACTCACAAGGGAAATACATTTTCACAGAATTCTTTCATTCCTGCTGAGGTAAGAATGTCTTCAATGAGTGATTCTTTAAAATACTGAGGTTGATACTGTACACCTTTACGTTTTGTATGATGCACAGTGGCTTGAGAACTTCTGTCTTCTACATAAACTTTAGCCTGCAATAGAAAACATAAAAACACAAACTCAATATTAAGAAAGAGCTCTGTTGAATTTCACACAAAGCTAATCAGGGGCTACTTATGCTAGCCTTACCCAATTATGAGGGGATAGACAAGAAAGAAGACAGTTAGTTAACATCACTAACTGCCAATTTTTGGGCTATTCTAACTGAATACTGGGATTTGACTTTTGACAAAAAAGAGAATTATTTAAAGTCCTAGATTCAACTGTGGTAAGCAATAGTGCAACGAACTTTTATACATACATTTGACTTGTTTTCCATATATATTATTTTAAAATAAGTGGATTGTGTGCTGTCCATTTCTTGTTGAAATTTATCACCATCTAGTCACAGACACCTACTGTAAAGAATCTGTCCCTACATATAAATCTAACACACCCTCTGTCTCATGTCCAAAGTAATATAGCAGTTTGTTTTATATTTTACACTAAAGCCACCATAGAAACTATATACTTTTAACCCAGAAAATATAGGATAATCTATTATAATTAATAGGTTTTAAAAACTAAAGAACTTGTTAGTCTTCCTACCTCAGTACCAATGTCAATCTGCAAATCCTTGATAAATTCAGCTTCTTGTTGGTAAGAATTGCATTCAGCATAACAATCCTTGTTATCACAATTGTCTGCCAAAGTAATAGGTGTCTTTGACTTCTTTAACCTCTTTGTAACAATGGTGATCTATAGTAATAAAATATTTTTGAATTTTATACTTTGGAAATTACATGTCTCAAATAGGCAGCTATTTGTTACCACAGGCAACACTTGGTTCTAGCTTTAGCTAAAAATGCTTCTGCATTTAACGGTATGATACTTAAATAAGATAAATTTTATATTTTTTAAATTTATTTTGCAATTTATATGAAGTTGGAAAATACATTTCTGAAATCTTCATAAAGATCTTTTTCTTCCTTTTTTTCTGTAGTTATAATTAAATGAATAAAGTTCTTATTCAAGTAGTTATGATATTTTATTTATTTTCCAAAAACTGCTACAAGGACCCAGCTGTGTTTTAGCAACATTTAGTTTATTTATACTTTAATTATGTGCCAATACAATAAACATATGCCAAACAACTTGTAGCATTCATGGAACACAGATGATTCAAAGTTACGGCCGTGTTCAGAATGCTGTTCGTATGGCATACCAAACCTGAAGAAGAAATCACTAATAGCCGAAGCTTCCTGATTTGGTATTCCATATGCCTCAGGCCATGTGGTGAAATAATCCATCACCACACAAATGTACTTGTTTCCAGCACAAGTTTGGGGCAATGGACCAGCAATGTCAATGGCTACTCTTTCCATTGGTGCACCAACTTGATATAATTTCATTGAAGCACGTCCCATATCCTTATGTCCCCTTTTAGCACAACATGTACTGCAGGTCCTTCACTATTCTTCCACATCTTGCCTCATACCTATCCAGTAAAGTCTCTGCTCTAAGTGATTCAATGTCTTCTTAACTCCAAGATG